GTTTGTAATGTTTGTTCAAAATAAACCTGCTTCTTATGACTTCTGTAACATGTTTTGAATAAAATATTATTAGTAAAAACCTCAAATCATGTCCTTTCTAATAATTAGAACTCTCTTGTAGATATYAAGGATAACATTTAGAAAATGCATTTATGCAACTATCAAAAAAACTTCCTCTCAGTCACTGAGAATAATTTCTTTACCACATTTTAAAGACCGATTATTATCTGGGCCCTTAAGGGTTAATGCTCCTGAACGGGACTGTKTGACCTGCAGAGTGTGAGACAGAGGAGAGGAGTTCCATGTTTGAGTCCAACAGGACCTGTACAGCAGCTGATTCTGTCTGGATTTGAGTTTACAAACTACTCTGGTTACTTTGTTCAAAGTTGAGGGACATTACAGCTGCACTGCTGATCAGCGCTGTTTATAGAACATGAACGGACTCGGGGGGAACCTGGTCGCACGCGAGGTTTGTGTTGGTGATTCTAAATTATTGATAAGGTAACAGTGCTGTGGCTTCACCTGTCGCATTTTATTTTAAAGAAAGAAAATGCAGCTTGCAAAGCTGTCGCATCAGCGCTACGTGATTAAAAGCAGAGTTTTCATRGCACGCACACACATGTCTTCCTATCTGTGTGAGGACCACACACAGTGCTCTGTGCCATCTTTTCCCCCCAAGTTTGGTAAGAGGTGGATATGGAGGGATGCAAAAAATTGCTCTGGACTTGATCTGGACTTATTTAAATAAAAATGACTACATGCCGTGAAATTCTTAGAGGGGCGGGCCGTCTCGTTGGCGGGGGGGGCCCCGCCTGTATAATGGTAGGGGAAACACTGCAGATGCAGACAACACAAAGGATAAAATAGGATACTTTTATTTAACAAAATAAAAAATAAAAAGCTGACATGGCAGCAAAACATACAGAAAACTCAGGAATCCTGAGAAGAACACAAAAGAGGATCAAGACARATAGTGATACCAATACAACAGTAGCAGGAGACTGGTTAGATAGAGCAGAGGTAACAAGGTATTTATTTATTAACCTTTATTTAACCAGGCTAATTCCATTAAGATCACAGATCGGTTTTGCAAGGCAGGCCTGGGCCTGATGGAAGCCTGTTGTACATATTTTTTGGTCTGTGGGAGGAAAAGGGAGTTCCCAGAGAAAACCCATGCAAGCACAAYGWGAACATGCAAACTCCACACAGAAAGACCCCAGGTCTGAACAGGGGTTCAAACCCAGGACTTTCTTGCTGTGAGGCATCCGTGGTAACCACTGAGCTGTCGTGCTGCCAATTGAAGAGTGAGAACAGGTGATGATAGCAGAGGACTGGAAAACTAACAGGAAAATGGCTGAGGGCAAATGAGAAACAYATTGAAAACCCAAGGATTAATCTAACAGAGACACAAGGGAACAAGGATCTAAAGTGATATGAAGAAGCAGAAAAGGATGGTGAGGAAGGAAAACTGAATAAACGTGAAGAGCTACAGAAATAAACAGACTAAAACACACGACAACCAGTGAGTCCTGAAAACACCAGAGGAAAATAAGGCAAAATTACTGGCTGTGGGTCTTGTTGAGGGACACCAGTCATTTGCTCATTATTCTTTTGTTTATTTCCTTTTTTTATTGACTCACTACTACTTCAAGGTTTTTGAAAAACCCAAACAAAAACACCATCAAAACCTGTGTGGTTGGCAGAGATGTACTTACATTGAACAGTTCAGACAAAATGAACAAAGAAAATACATAAAAATCTACTAATTAAATGAATACAGCAAAGCAAGTATTCATTTAGTAATGTTTTCCTGGTAATAGGATTATACAACTGTTAGCACTCATCTCAGAATGACCCAACCCATTACCATAGCCACACCTGTATGCATTTTAAACCATCATTTCTGGTTTTAGTGGTTTTGTAATCATAGAAGGAGGTAACATGTGTAAAAGGATTACTAGATGATTTATATTCTCTAATAAAAGAAGGAAAACCAACACCCAGGCCTACAAGAGTTCTCATTATTAGACAATTTATTTTGTTTCTTTGTTGAAGGGGTTTTCTTTAAATTAAGCCAAAAAAGCATACAAATACACATTTGTTATTGTCTTGTGCTTCTATATTTTTCCTAAAATGTAAAAAAACCCTTTTTTCTGTTCATTCTTTTCCTTCCCCTTTGACTCCCCAGCGCCCCCCACATTCACAGACACATCACCTCAATATGTCGAGGCCAAAGAAGGGGGGAGCATCACATTGACCTGCATGGCATTCGGCAATCCCAAACCCTCTGTCAGCTGGCTGCGGGAAGGCAGCCTTCTGACCACCAGTGCCAAGTACAAGGTAGATATTTAAATTTTACTTCCTCAGACCAGCTACAGCTTTATGACAGTGTGAATGCTGAGTCAGCATTTACACAATTTTCTTGATTTTTTTTCTTTTTTTTCATGTTTATTTTTTCATCTAATTTTGTTACGATCTTTTTGCATATTTTGTGAAATTTTAGCCATTATTTCAGAAGATAAGGGTTGGGAATTTGTTTTTTGTAACTTTTGTTGCTTTCCTTTAAAATAATTACCCATAAAAATTCTGTAAGTAGGTATGTTGACATATCATCGTTTTCTTCCTAAACTGCTGTGACCAGATTGTGATGGTAAATGGTAAATGTACTGTACCTTTACAGCACCTTTCTATCCAACCAACATACTCAAAACTCTTTATACTACAATATGTGTCCTCATTTAAACATTCACACACACACACATTCATTCAGCACTCTTACCAGATCTCTCTACAAAGCTAATACAGATTAATCAATGTATAGCAGGGGTACCCAAACATTTTCCTCAAGAGGTACCAAAATGAGAATCTATCCGGGGCTACGGTCCAAATGCAGTAATATAATACATGAAATACAAATACTATTTTAGTAAAGTCCTTTACTTTGTAGAGATCAAGCTAGCAGCCAGTGTGGTGGCCTGCTTTTGTTTTAGTCTGGGCACTTGGAGAAAGTCTGCCATATGCTAAAGTAGCAAAGGCTCATGGGAAATTTGATAAATTGATAAAATAGGAGTTTTTCTGGCCTTATAAAATGTGAAAATCTACATGCGGGGTTAAATCTAAATATCACTTTTTACTTGTATTTCACGTTTCATATTTAATCTTAATATATCAAAGATAAAGTCAGATTCATGAGTGAAAACTATCTGTACTACAGCCCCTCATATAGTCATTGGGCCAATGGATAAAATAACAAAGTGGAAATAGTTTTTCTACATAGGATGACAGGTTACAACCTAGTAACAATGTCAACTGCTGGTAGGCCAAATCAAATAGCTTGGCGGGCCAAATTTGGCCCGCGGGCCCCACTTTGGGCTCCTCTGATAGAGACTAGTCAGTGCTTTAAATCACATTCATACACACACATTGGCACATATGAGAGACAGTGGGAGTTCATTGTCTTGCCCAGGAACACTTCAACATATGACTGAATAGCAGTGGAATCAAAATGCCAACTCTCGCATTAGAGGAACGACTCCCCTAATCGCTCAGCTACAGTCACCACCGCTGCACTTAGCATTTGTTATTTGCTCCTGTTTTGTTATTTCAAGGAATTTCAGCAAACCGTGCTGACATCAAGTTGTTAGCTGGAGACTTTTTTCTTTGTCGTTGTGTTTTTAAGAGCCACTTCATTGGAAATAGGATCAAATTCAATCATCCAAGTTTTTTTTTTGTAACCCCTAAGAAGGTAAGCTACGGAACCCGTCCGGTGACATGGAATAAAACGTTTTTTTCACGTGGCTAATGGCCACGAGATAACGCGTGCCTGTGTGATAATTAATAGGCTAAGTTTGACCACCCTTACTGTGATAGACAGGCAATATTGGAGTCAGATTATATATATATATA